AAGACACCTATAATTATATTTACGACCAAGCGTTTAGAAATAAACTGAACTCCAATTTATCTCGCAACTAAACGCTACAAGTGTGGAAGAGCTATGCTTCGGCACGAATGGACCGGCTCGACCGGAGTGACACTACGGCCGAACAGAAAACCGACGTGAAGCAACGCTTCCGTTGTGGAGGCTTAATTACCCTTAATATAATCCTTCCCTAATCTCCCCAATCCTGGAATCCCAAATAATAGTAATTCCCAATCCCCAAAAGGCCGGTAACGCTCTTGTAACGCCTCTGGTGTTACAGGTGTCCATGGGTTACATAGAGCATCCGCCGGTGGCCATGATGGGTGACGCCGATTGCTTACCATCAGGTGGTCCTTCTGCACGTTTATCGGCTTATCCCGTAAAAAATAATTGATACAAGACCTATCTAACCGTTCATTTAAAATGACCCATATGGATTAAATTCGATGCCATTAGCTCAATAGATACCTATTTCTTATCAGACAATTAAAGACACAATCACAATATTTGTCATCACAATAAAATTTCACCTGTCAGTACAATTGTCATCTATAATATATTTTTATATGACGGTAAACCACACGGTGGACGCTACTCAAGGGTGCATGTTGCGTGAAACACACCGGCGCACGCGCACCGTGTAATTACCCTGTGTATCACTGTGTTTACACTTTGTGCGTGTATGTGGTGCAAGTGGTAGACTTACAGCGAACATGATCATGGGGATGGTGAATAATTGGCGAATGCGAAAAAAAATTCTAAATCCTATTTCCAAGTCAGATTTAAGCATCATTGGGTTTTTGAGATTTCAAAAATTCTTAGTAGTAATACCTACGGCGAGTACGACACCTAATGGTACATAGGACTCTTCACATTATTAAATGACTAGTTTGTATTACATGTAATAAATAACCGGGCTTAAAATAGCATAGGTTAAGCCATATTAATTATTATGTGAATAACCCAGCTTTATCCCAACACGCAACAATGACATTTTCTTCTTGTAAATTACTACGAAAAATAAATCATAACAAGGCTTCCCTTACCAACTCCACCCGCTCCCGCTACCGCTCGCACTGCACACAGCTCCCGCGAAGCGGTGCGTATCGGGGGAAAGTTTAGTTGCGTACTAGAACAATAGCTCATGTCACACCACTTTGTGATGCACGCCGACCGTGACCAGGCGAACTAAGGAATAGGACCAGATAAGGGAATAAAGTAGAACACATTTTGTCACACCCCTACTCCTCGCTGATATCTAAGACCCGACTAATGGTGATCGCTCTCCATTTACTCTATTATAGACCTTATTTGCGATGTTTAGAAACTACTTCTGTATGAACAAATGCTATGGATTTTTCATCATCAGGAATTAAGAAGGTTGTAGAGATCGGCGTTCTATAGCACCTTTCTTCGGTAAATAAATGTGGGAGTGCCATGCTACGGCACGAATGGGTTGACTCTACCGGAGTGATACCACGGCCGAGCAGAAAACCGACGTGAAACAACGCTTGCATTGTGTTTTATAGTGTGAATGATTACTGGAGGCCCAAATATCCCCAATCCCTGAATCCCCAACAATCCTCAAATTCCTAATCCCCAAAAGGTCGGTAACGCACTTGTAACGCCTCTTGTATTCCAGGTGTCCATGGGCGACACCGATTGCTTACCATCAGGTGTACGCTCGTTTACCGGCTTATTCCATAAAAAAATTAGTATCACGACTAATCTAAAATCATAAAATCTATCATATCATATTAAACTACCTGAAAACACTAACAAACTCTTTACATGATCATAGCACAGACTTTTAATCAGTAAAAAAACATACAGCCGAATTGAGAAGTCGGTTGAAAATGCACACTAGTCAACAAGAAGTATTGCATACATCCTACACCCAAAATAAACATCTAACACAATAAAACAAATAAAAATTTACATCCGAAGTCACAATCACACCGCATGACACACTACCACACTGCCCCAGCAGTAATGTAACATTCATATTGTTTTGTAACAATATTAAAGGCGCGTAAACTGTATAATAGCGTAATTAACCAAACACAAACAACTGGTTCAACTTCTTTATAATCAAAGTGCTCATTACAATCGGCTTTAACAGTTAAATCATCGAGAAATGATGTACGGGGTAATAACAAAAAACTATGAAGGCAAAGCTTATATTTAGTACGTGTGTTCCGTACATTGTTTAATGGTTTCTTTTATGTTATTATAATGTACTGTAAGAAATTCTCTCAGAGTACGAGTCACTATTTTAGGTATTAACAATAAAGGCTCCTTTTTATAATAACTATCGTAAGACATGGTTAATTAACTAAAAATCGCAGACTACACATGTGAATATACTAAGAAAAAGCTCTACTAGTTTCGAGCCACAGAGGGGCTCTTCACTTCTCTTTGTCACGGCGATGTCGCACAGCCTATATAGTATTAATAGAGCTTTTCTCGGTATTTTCACGTGAGTACCTAACCCGCGATTTTTAGTATTGGAGATAGATAGAGATAGATCGATAAGGCTATTGCATGTTTTATCCTAGACAATATTTGTTGCGTCTGGTGAGGCATGAGAACCAAGCAACGCCAAGAACCTGAAATATAGCGCATATATAACATATCAAAGAAGTTTAAAACAAAAGCCGTCACTAAATATTTATAAGCTTTAATGGTGACGGGTTACATTTTTACTGTTACGTATCTACTGTAATAATTATTGGGTACAGTAAAAAATCCAAGTTAAAATTCACGAACACTAATACAAAACACACACTACAAATACACTTACTTAAAACAAACTGTATTCTGAAAACGAAAGTAAATACACAAATAATATAAAATTGTCATACGGTACTCTAAAAAGTAAAATTGCAAAAAACTCATTATTATCGGTCCAGTTGTGCTGACGTAAACGCAAGGTCGACATTACACAAAGTTTAACTGTTTTCTTCATTTTCAGCCTGTTTTTATGCCTAAGTTGGTTGCAACATTCATTCTTTGTTTACATAGCCCTCTCATTTTGATAGTTTTGTTGCTAGAACGGAATTATTAACAAGCCTGTTACAGTCCACTGATGAACTATGGACCCAATCTTCATGCCATAATCTGCTCGCCTTTTTTTTGAGAGGTGAAAATCATCCAATGACTTCTCCCGCCTAGGTGAGGCGGGGAGGGAGTGTCAGACTCTTACTGACTAAAAACCACCCCGTTTCTACGCCTGAACTTCGAGCCGGAGCCCCGGCAACCCGTTAAGTCTTCCGCGGCTCCGTATCGGCATCAGCCCATCTGTGGTGGTCTGATGGCTCCTTGAGGCGCGCGCGGAACGCTCGGCGTCGTACGCTCGGGCCTGGTTCTGGTCGGGCGGCGAGTCACCCGTGCTCGCCGTCCGCTGGCCCGTGCTTACGGTGGCCGGAGATCGTCTCGCGATAATCTCCTCGCCTAGCAGGCTGGATGGAGATCATACTTCAATAGGTTCAGGTTTAACAGATATCGCTATAAATACTATCCGGTCGAATAAGTAATCCCTATATCGGGTCTTAAGGTTCATTTTTGTCTTTCACTCAATATGATAGATACATCTAAACATGAGATTGAAACAAGAGTGCAGAATAAATGAATTAGTGAACTGATCGAACGATGTTTGATTTTGACATTCTGCATCATTCACTCCAGAAATATTCGAGTGAAAGTGATATCACCTTTACAGCAATCGTGGGGAGAATGGGGGTGGTGATATATGTATTCTAAAAGCTTGTTCAAACGTGCCATTCTGGCCTAATTTACATAAATGATTTTGACTTTGACTTTGACTCTATCCCGTCACGACACACGTTAAATGAAATATTTTGACTGAACTAAAACGACTTAAAATGCTAAAACGACTAAAACTGCGGAATTCCTTCCGCTTCAGATCATTATCTGATTTTAAAGTTAAAACGTGCGTAACTGCATAAATTATACGTAACACTTCCGTATGCTAACGAAGAATTCTAATTCTTTCTTCCAATCTTTTAACCAAATCTTAAGTATTTTCTTTGGCAAATATAGACGCAAAGTTTTATTTTATATAAATTATTTATTTAATTTTTTTTGAAGCCTTAAGAAAGCATTTTTATTTAATTTTTAGTTATTTATATTTGAAGTTGTATATATATTATTTAATTTCAATTCTTATCAATAAATAATTAAATCTCCTTTTTCCAGACGTCACATCTACAATTTTGATGCAACTTAGTTCTAACTATAACTTAGTGCCGTGTTATCGCATCGTACGAACTTGATTCTCAATTAGCTGATATTGATGATAATAATTATCATGATGACAATGATAAACACAATTTAAGACACCGTGCTTGTTACTGGGAATGGGGATGATGACAGGGTATGAAAATGAAAAATATAATTAGTCCGTAAGTTAGGTAATGAAAAAATATTAGACCCGTATTTTTTTATTTTGTCGTATAATAAAACAATACTTAGATAAAACGAATCAAAGTTTAGGAGTGGGGGCTAAAACGTCATTACTTAGTATAAAATGTACTGAGAAGTGACGTCACGCGACATTTCAAATCAATATATCTTCGAAACTATTCGTTTCTCTGAGAAAATAAAAAATACGTGTCTAATGTTTTTAAATAATCTACCAGACGGACATTAAAATAAAAATTAGTCCTCTACCCCATTCCAAAAAGCCAGAGTCCCAAGAATACTATATTTTAAAGTTCGTCCTACCCAGCTGCAACTACAACCATTTCATCTATTATTAATCAATTTATCTTCGTAAGTGCCCGGTATATGGCAAGAGGCTCAACCCCTATTACATGGGACTCATAACATAAATAGTGAAAAGTGGGTGCTACTTTGTACAGTGGCATTAAGTGTCGTAATGTACACCTCTGCCTATCTCTTCGGGGAAGGCGTGATGTTATGTTTATTTTCGTATCTAATGAAACCCTCATCTTCCACAGCGCGGTGCCAACCTCAAAGCGAAAGAAGGAGACTTCGTTTGCGATCCTTGCGGAGACGCCAGTGTCGCGGCCCACCAGCCCGCGGTCGCTGCCCGTCGACATCAGGACCCGTAGGGTCTCGCCCTTCAGAGGTAAATATTAACACTGTCCCTTATAAATTAATGTAGGTATAATAAAAAAGGACAACAGCTTGCTCTTTCAAACAGACCTTGATAAACGATAGGATAAGCAAAGAAATTACATTTACAACATTCGTTTCTGTTGTGTTGAGTTTCTGAGAATGTCTATGGCATTAAGCCCACATTAGTATGTGCTTGAATACTTTTAAAATGAGAATAAAAAATATTTCAACAACCCGTTTTCTTTTTCTCCAGGTCGTGGTTTCCGCGAAGAGACATCACGGCACAACACTCCGAGGACTTCAGCAGCGAACTCCAGAGCGAACTCACCTCCGAGAAGAAGAACAAACTCATTATCGAGGATAGACAACATGGCACAGACTGCCACATTACCTCTACCTATACACAACCTACCAAGACCACATTCTCCTAGAAACTTCTTAAAAGAAAACATTGAAGAAGTGAGAGAACTAAGTGAGCTGAACAGAGAAAAACATGAAGCAGAAGCTGAAAGGAAAAGAATAGAAGAAGAAGAAGCTATACTTAAAGAAATGGGAGTTTTAGACAAGTCCAAATCTGGTTCCAGAAGCGTGGTTGGTTCCAGAACGAATTCTAGAAGTAACTCTCCAAGTAAAATAAATTTGAGATCGAGAGATAATTCTCCTTCAGCGATACTTCATTACGAGAATATCCCTGCTAATAGCAGGGAGTTTGTGAACGCTGATGATGGAATTAGACAACCAGTTACACATAGGTCTCGAGTTCGATCGGTCTCTAAATCTCAACCTCAGTCCAACAATGGATCGCCAAAACATTCCAAGATTCCAAAACGACAAAGCTCTGTTTCTCCAACAAGAACTACATCAAAACCATCGGTGTATAGACAACCCTTTGAGAATAACTTGAACAAAAATCAAAGGTTTATTTCCAGTAGTACTAGCAGTATTCATGAGACCATTCGAATTGGGAGTCAGGTCCATGATAAAAGAGGAAGTAAAAGTACTCAACACTTAAGCATATCTCCTGCTCACATTAAAGGCAAGCCTCCAATTTCTCCTGGAAGAGGAGGCCCGCCACCTTCAAACAGAGTTATCAATGCTAAAAGACTATCTCCCATAGTTGGAACTCCAAACAAGAGTCCTATAGATGACTTAAAACCGAACTCGGCAAGACCGAATGCAAAACCTACACCTGTGCCAAGAAAATCAGTTAAGACAGCTGGTAACACACCTGCTACATCTAGATTGAATTCTAGACAGCCTAGCAGGACTGTTAGTAGAGACCCAAGTCCAGATAAGCGTAAAACCAAAACAGTGACAAAACCTGTGACTAGTGCCACCACAAAGCCGGTGAGCAGAGTAGCAAGTACTAGAACTACACAGAAGCCTACAACTGTTAATAAACCAGAACCCAAAAAACCGGTTAGTCGAACAAACAGTATGAAAAGTCTGACAAGGACACCCAGTACGAAGAACTTGGCGGAGAAACCGCCCCTGAAAAAGAACAACAGTAAGAAAGACCTAAGCGAGAAAGCACAATCTACAAGCAAAATAAACGAAGTTGGTACTAAGAAAGATTCTATCAAGAAAAAAGACTCCGCCAAAGGAAGAGATGAAACCGACAAAGGTAAAGTAAAAAGTACGAGAAGTACAGATTCGATGACTGATTCTGATAATGTATCAAAACAAGACAACGAAACACAGTACGATAAAATTACGAACGAAAAAGGTGAACTCGTTATAATGACGAAGAAAAACATAATCTCGATGACAACTGCCGCAATAACTTCTCAGCCATTAGAACTTGTCTCTACGGTCACTAATCAGTTACCAGCGGCTTTTGAAAAAGCTAGAGAAAAAGGTATTTTTGAAAGATTGAGTTCCAAAGACTCTCTTGTAGGCAAAGAAGATACTACAAATGAAAAACCTGTTAATGCTGAGAAGGATAAAGAAAAGCCACAAAAACATAAAGATGCTTCAGAAGAAAAAGAAAAGGTTGAAGAGAAAAAGCCTCCACCGAGACATAACAAACCTAACAACCATGATAAGCCTTTATACGCTGAAGACCAAGTTAAACTAAAACTTCTACAGGGTCCGTTTAACAACCCTCAAATTGAACGAGCGAAACAAAAAATTGAAGCCATTTTAAAAGAGCCAGAAATATCGACAGAAAACATACTGACTGCTTCAGCAAAAACAAGAGAAGTCAAAAATACTTTTAAAGAGGTAGCTGATAACGCAAAGACCGAAGTCAAAGAAGCGAAAGACGAGGCAGCAAATAAGCTGACAGAAATCAAAGATCAAGTTGTCAAACAGAACGAAAAAATGACTGAAGAAATACGTTCAGAAGTAACGAAAATTGTCGATAGTATAATCACGCCAGTTGAAGAGCCGAAAGATGTTCCAGAGAAAAAAGAAAAAGTTAAAGATGTTCCTAAGAAGATGGAAGAAGTAAAGAAAGATATAATTGAACCAATAGTGACGGTGGTTAATGAAAAAAAGAAGAATGGTGGTGCAGCCATTGCTGAGAAAGTGAATGAAACGCTTGTGAAGGGAGAAGGAGAAGTTGAGGTGTTGAGTTCCAACGTGTCCACTCCAGGAGTTGACAAGATAAGAGTTCAGAAGAAGGATGGCAACGGGTCTGATAAGTCTGCTCAAAGTAATGGCGGGTGAGTTAATTTTTCTTATGCAACTTGTTCTAGATTTCTATCTTAAGCATCCGTTTACAAAATATGGGTCTTGTATAGTTTACCTACTTGATAGATACCTAATGAATATTCAAACAAATTGGCACATGCCTGATATTACTTATCGTTGATAATGGGGATGATGACAGGGTATGAAAATTAAAAATATAATTAGTCCGTAAGTTAGGTAATGAAAAAATATTAGACACGTATTTTTTTATTTTGTCGTATAATAAAACAATACTTAGATAAAACGAATCAAAGTTTAGGAGTGGGGGTTAAAACGTCATTTCTTAGTATAAAATGTACTGAGAAGTGACGTCACGCGACATTTCAAATCAATATATCTTCGAAACTATTCGTTTCTGTGAGAAAATAAAAAATACGTGTCTAATGTTTTTAAAAAATCTATCAGACGGACATTAAAATAAAAATTAGTCGTCTACCCTATTGTATTATAGCAATATAGGAATAGTACTTACATCTTTAAAGTTGAAGTAATGTAATAAATATATAATAATTTAGTGAATACTGACTATGAGACGATTAGCTTCAGTTTCTAAAACAATGTGATTTAATCAGGCATTTTTTGGAATGACAATCACGTTAACCCTTAACAACCCACAAGTGTCTCGCGGACACAATTTTGCGTTTATGTTTTCATAAAAACTAAAGTTTTTATTTTTATGAATTGGCATTTTATCTAATTTATCGCCAATGTTTTACGAATCTAAATGTGCAATGAAAATATTTGTAACGTGAATAATTTATTATTTTTGGTCAATATACGAAAATAGTACTTCATCAACCCAGAAGTGTCCAACAGACACAATATCATTTTATTTGATTCAAGTGTGAAGGTAGATTGTTTTATTTACATTTACCTATAATCTTATGGTGTCGGGTAGGCAATAGCGGTTGCTAGACCTTTGTTTGTGTTATCATCATAGTTTTTGTAATCGTATCACGTACCAGTAATCAGAAACTCTTGTCATAATGTGGTCATGTTCTAATTCGTTTTTATTGAATGTTATGGCTAAACAGCAACTAACACAAAGTGAAATACAACGTGCCCTTGTTGAAAGTGACGATGAAAACATTTTTGTCCATGAGTGCGATAGTGATGATGAGAATTTTGCTGTTGACAGCTGTTCTGATAGTCAAAGTCAAAGTCAAAGTCAAAGTCAAAATCATTTATTTCAATTAGGCCAGAATGGCACTTTTGAACGTCAACAAAAACAAAAATTTAAAGTGAAGCTATTTGCTCATTCCAAGGCGTAGATTCCTATGGAGAAGAACGAGCAAGAAACTCCATAGGTTACTCTTTTTCAATCAGGTTCACAATACAATTTACTAGTTACATAGTTTTGCTGTTTGGATTGTGCGAGAACAATGTAACACTAAAATCCAGTCAAAGTGATCAAAAAAGAAAATAACCTTAAGGACAGTAATACAGTCTGGAGCTGACCAGTCCCAGTTGACGGCGCCCGTTCACGAACATGACACGTACACCAGCACCGCCCAACTCAACCATATTGTAGGGAATTGAGCGATCCACTGCACGCGCCACCGCCAATGAGACCTTTGAGTGAGCATGACAACTCCAAGCTGACACAAATGAAATCTACTAATCTACTTTAATATTAAGTTAATTACAGGGCTCTCACATTTACAATGCTTATCTAAGTTAAACAATATACAATTTAGCAATATGGCTGTATTATTTACGATTTCATTAAAACAAGTGTTTTTAGTTATCCTGTGGAGCCGGACTAGCCTGCATCCAAGCATTTTTATCTCTATTCTATATTCATTAAGTTTGTAATATGCTTGTCTACATAAAGTTTTCTTTATACATAATTTAAATTTCGATTCATTTAGTTGTTGTACATCGCCTGGTATCTTATTATAACATTTAACACAGAATCCCATGAACGACTTACTTACTTTCGCTAATCTCGAAATTGGCTGACTTAATCTATTCTTATGTCTAGTTTGATAGTGGTGTCTGTCCGACACTTTACCAAATAACTGTAGGTTTTTCCTAACATACATAATGTTTTCATAAATAAATTGACATGGAACGGTCATAATGTTGATCTCCTTAAACCTTTCTCTGAGTGATTCGCGACGACCTAGATTGTAGATAGCTCTGACGGCGCGCTTTTGTAAGATAAAGATAGATTCAATGTCAGCAGCGTGTCCCCACAGCAAGATGCCATACGACATAATGCTATGAAAGTAACTGAAATACACTAGTCTTGCCGTGTCTATGTCAGTTAACTGTCGTATCTTCCAGACAGCATAAGCTGCAGAGCTCAATCGTCCCGCTAATGATGTAATGTGAGGACCCCATTGCAATTTGTCGTCTACAGTAATTCCCAGGAAAGTTGTCTCTTTTACAAACTCTAATTTCTCACCATTCAATAATATGTCACAATCGTTGCTTTTAACATTTGGCAAAACAAATTTAATACATTTTGTCTTTTTATTGTTTAGTACTAAGTTATTTAATGTAAACCAATTATGAACTTTCATTAGGGCATTATTTACGTCGTCATAACTATTTGTGCGTCTATTAATTTTAAAAACTAATGAAGTGTCATCAGCAAATAATACCATCTGCGGTTCATTTTTAAATAAATGGGGCAAGTCATTTATGTACGCTAAAAATAAGAATGGACCTAGTATCGAGCCCTGCGGTACACCCATAGATATGCTAGCACCCTGTGAATTTACTTTATTTACTTGTACTTTAAGTTGCCTATCCTGAAGGTATGATTTCAACAGATTTAGCGACGTCCCCCGAATGCCGTAGTGTTTCAGCTTCAGCAATAGTGTCTCATGCTCAACACAGTCGAATGCCTTCGAAAGATCACAAAATATGCCGATGGCATCCCGTGCTTCTTCCCAAGAGGCGAACACCCGCTTAATTAGAGCTACTCCCGCGTCAGTAGTGCAGCGACCTTTGGTGAATCCGTATTGTTGATCATGAAAAATAGAATTCATGTTAAAGTGACGCAACATCTGAGAAAGCATCAGCCTTTCAAACACTTTGCTGAGCGCTGGCAAAATAGAGACCGGCCTATAGTTATTGGGTTCTGCACTATCACCGGATTTAAACAATGGAACTACTTTTACTATGTTTCATTAAATCCGGGAAAACTCCGTGATCTACACTTTTATTAAAAATAAACGCTAAATGAGGCGCTATAGTCTCTATAAAAGATCTACACACTCTAACAGACATGCCCCAGAGATCTTCAGTAGACTTAACTTTGATCTCTTTGAACGCTTTAATTACTGCTTGGGGGTTTGTGTATTGAAATCGAAACTCAGAAAGGCACTCATTGATATTACTTTTAAGAAGTTCAACGGAAAGAGTCGGAGATGATTTCAATGCTTCCGTAGTTTTAATCGGAATATTTTTAAAGAAACTTTCAAATTCCTGTGCAACTTTATAATTTGAATTGATACGTCCATTCGCAGTATTTAGATTAAATTCAGCACTACGTGATTTATTTCTACCTGTCTCGTCATTAATTATATTCCAGGTAGTTTTTATTTTATTTTCTGCAGTCTTAATTTTATTAGTAATGTAAAGTGCTTTAGCCTGCTTACAAACTAATTTAAACGTTTTTGAATATTTGGAGACATAAATGTGAAAAGCCTCACTATGATTAAATGGTTTCATACCGTAAAGCTCAAATAACCTTTCCCTACTTATGCGTATACCTGGTGTAGCCCAGTCACAGAATACCAACTTGCATTGAATGTTTTTGCGTTTTACAGGGAATAATTTATCAAATTGAGTTTTAATAATTGACAATAGGTTGGCGTAAATCTCACTCGGGTATTCACTATCATGTATTTGACCGCATAAATCATTTTTTAAATTATGATTTAATGACTCAATTTTTTTATTTGAGATCTGTCTAAACATAATTTCACTTTTTTGAACAGTTGTGATGGTGTTAAAGCTAACTGTCAGCCCACTGTGATCAGATGATAATTTATTAACAACATCTTTATGTAAATAATCACAGTTACAAAAAATATTATCTATACATGTTGCCGTGGTGGATGTTATACGGGTGGGCTCAAGGAAAACATTAGATAAATCAAAAGATTTGAAGAGACTTAATAAGTTAGTACAAATAGAGTTATTTTCCAAGAGATCAACATTAAAATCGCCACATACTATGGTATATTTACTACTAGAACACGTTTTGTGCAGTACATCTTCCATTATGGAGCTAAAACTATTAAAATTTTGTGACATAGGAGGTCTATAAACACAGATTACAATATGCTTATCCAGCTCAACACAGGACAACTCTATTGTGTGCTCTATTGACAATAATGTAATATCTTGTCTTTCTTTATATTTCACTGAATTGTTAACTAAAATTAGGCTACCACCATGTATCATTGTTTGACGGCTAAAATAGTTTCCAACACAATAGTTTTTAAAATTTATAGATTCTACTTGATAATCCTTCAGCCAATGTTCAGTAATACAAACAATATCATAATAAAATTTTTCTAAAAATAATTCAATTTCTAGAGATTTTGATGAAAAGCCCTGCATATTTTGATTAAACAATGTTAACAACTTTTCTTGTTTATTCTTCTTATGTACTACTTTCATAGATTTAGACTTATATATACTGCCAGAAGATACCTTAACAATGCATGGAACATTTGTAACATTTAATTGTTTATCCTCTGTTGTCTTATTATTTAGTTTAAAAAGTTATCCAGAGTACCCACATTTGTCATCAAATCATGAGTCTCTTTCGTACTATCATAATAAGTACAGCTAATCTCTATATTATTAGATTGTCTATATAATATAGATCCGTCACTTAAACTATTATAAACTAAATTAATACTATTTGCTAGCAAACTAGCAAGTAAAACTTTACATTTTCTAGGAATAAACATGTATTCCTTGGTCAAATTAAAACCACTAACAAATT